GAGCAAAGTTATTTGCAAGCGATAATTTGAAATCATTTTATTGCAAACTCAAAGTTTATCGATAAAGCCATTTAATCATAAAAGGCTGTTTAGTTTTATAAAGAACACTTTAAAACGTTTTGCGAAGCGTTTGTGGTTGAATTTTATCTTAAATTGAAGCCTATATTACGTATAATAACATACCTAACATATATATGTTGGGAAATTGATAACTTTGTAATTAAAAGTGATATTTTTAGGAGATTTGTAAGAATATTCTTAAAAAAATTATCGTGTTACCATGGCAACTGTTCTAGATACTTCATGTTCGGAAAATACAATGGTTTTGTCAGCAAGGCGAGGGATTCTGCATGCATGTATTTTCTAGTATAGTATCAAACGATCGTATCACCAGGCGCGCTACAACTAACAGTGTAACATTAAAACTTTCCAGAGTTAACACTTTAACTTTTCAGAACAGTTTTTATAATAGAGCTCCCAGAATATATAACTCCCTACCACCACATATTCGAGAAGCAAGCGTTACTGTCGGCCAATTCAAATCTTACCTGTTAACTTATTATGAAGCAATGACTAAAGAAATGTATAACATTAATGCTCCACAAACATTTAAAAGTATATGTGTCAAGTGTCACTCGTGTCGTCCGTTGTCCAGTCTTGTGGATAAAATGTGTTGTAAATAATGTAATATTGTTTTTTTGTTTGTTTTTTATATATACATATATACATATTATTAGGGACCCTGTAAACGGAGCATTAAGCTCTGTAGGGTTAACCTGTCATTTATGACTAAGTTTGTAAAAAAAAAAAAAAAAAAATATTAATTTTGCTGTATAGATAAAAGATAAAAGACAGATCTCAGTATACGTCGCAGCTAGTCAATGTCAATGCAACTAAGATCTTTTATACGATGAATTGAATGGTTTACATGAAAGGAAAAAAATGCTGCTAAATGGGAAATGCGGAAAACTTTTAACAGAATATAATAACAAGTTCATGGATTTATTAATTCGATGCGACGTTAAGGCAACACACATTTTCGACATTGGCATTGTACCTGTCCGGTCATGAGGGATACAACGTCCTAGACGAATTAATTTCTTCTGACCGTTTTAGACCTCAAAGATCCGTCGCATTTCATCGATCGAATTAAACTTTTCTGAGTTAAATACAATGATTGTGCAATATATTGGTCGCTATAAAAATTCCGCGAGCAACCTTGAACGTGTTTCCGGTTATCACAAAGGTAAACAATAGAGCTATTTACAGCCATAATTTATGAATTTTGCACTCCTTCATATTCCTTTTGCCGACAAGTTTTATTGCGAATAACATAACTTTAAGAAATCTACTTTAACCCTAAAAGTGTTTTAGACACCAGGTAGGTTGCACTTTTGAGAATTTTTAGTTTGAATTTTGTACATAATCATTAGTTGTTCGGCGAACGAAAATACCGACTTCCTTGGATGGAGACTAGTAGGCTTAAAATAAGATGTACATTCAAATTCTTTCAACATTTTAGAAGAAGAAGAATATGTCTCAATACGCTGAAAAATGTTTTTAATTTGACGCAAAACTTTCCGAGTTATGATGCACAATTTAACACACATTTGACCGCCGTTTTCGGGGTCAAATTTCAGTGTCGCTGACGTCCAGACAAAAATTCGTCATAACTAAAAAAAAAAAGAAAAATTTAGAAATTCTAATGTTAGTTTAATACCTTTTAGGACAAAGGTAGTTCATGGTAAAAATATAAAGGAAATCTAATTTTCAACCTGAAACGCTCTGCATGGTTCTTAGTGAGACAGCCACTTAAGGTGGCTCCCTACATTTCTCTAAAATTCTAGGTATTTTGAGTATCGTTCGCTTTGAACCGAATTTATGTTAGATACAATATGATCATTTCCAGGAAAGTTCAGAAGCTGTGTGCTGTCCATTTATGAACAAATTAAAACAGTGTTTGCGTTGCCATGGCAACCATGACGTTTAATCTTTTGCACTTTTATTGTCTAATTTCACAATAAATTGACAATATCTATATTTTCCTTCGGTGAATTTTTCTGAAATTTTTTTTGAAGATTTATGGTCCATAAAGGAAAAACATATCAAAATTTGAAGGTTTTTACAAATAAGTTTTCGAGATATTCGTGAATGACGGTTACAGAAAAAGTTATTTGTAGAATTTCTTAGAATTTGGATATGTTGTATCACTCGTCTTGTATAACAAAAATACAAAGTTTAAAAAAATTTCACCGAAGAAAACACGAGAAAATCATCGCTAAAATCGGCGTGGCCAGCATGAAAATAAATCGACTCGACATGAGCACGATCTGCGCATGCGTGTAAATTGTAGCGTGTGATTTATAGTGATTTCAACTTTTTGGCTTACAATACATAAGAAAACAGATATTTCTGACTTGTTTGACATGAAAATAAAATATTAATCTTGAAAATACTAATAAAAAACACTATTATAGGCATTGTATTAAATTCAGTGTTAGTTTACATTTGTTTTTGTTGTTAAAATCGGTGTGAAAACTTTCCAAAACATCGAACTACAAGTTCAACTTTCCATATAAAACAACTCATAACTGTTTTATTTGATTTAGCAGATAAAACGATACCTGTAAATTGAACTGATTGACAGAACTTATATAAGTTTCGGGAACAGTTCACTACTGTTCAAGAGTTAATAGAAGACAGTATCATTTCAGTTTGACAGCTCGCAAAACAACAAGTTGAAAATTTTGAGCAATATGAAAGACAATACTGAACGTAAATACGTAAAAACACACTAAAAGATAGGTTAAACTAGTTAATAACATACGTACTGTTCGAATTCAGAAAAAAATAGGATTATAATGAAAACTGGGGCTTTCTTTGTAGATAAAAACGCCAAAAAACTTCCCACGGCTTCTTTCAATATTTTTGCCGAACAGTAAACACGATTCCACGCGCAGGTCGCGAGGATGAAGTCTGATCTATATAAATCGTATTTAAACTGTACTAACTGTAGGGAGCCACCTTAATAGCTTAGGGGGGTGAGGTTAAAAGGGGGTGGGGGGGGGAAGGGTGGTTACCAGGATGTTTCCAGATGTACAAACATTTTTCAGGAATTATAATAATTTTTCTGAAAATACAGTTGTTTTCCAAATTTACTTTCTCGTGTCCTGAGAATTACCTGAATTCCCCTGAAAATCTTCTGCAAATGTACTTAAATTTACCTAAAAGTGCACTAGAAATCTACCTGAAATTCCTCATGAGCAATTATCAGAGGTGTCGCACTCCCCCGGTGAGTTTCAAGCAAACACTCTCTGACTTATTGTTCATGTATTTCACCTCCCAAAATATTGTTCATCATACTCTAAAGCATTTTGCTGTTGTCATATGTATGCTCTAGCGTGGTTCAAATTTATGAATTTTTATTATAAAGAATGAATTAATCACATTTCATACATTGATTAAACTTTGTGTAAGTGCCATTTTAGTTCTATTTAGTCGCTCTATTATATTTGCAATAAGTTGCATCGCTTGTGACGTTGGGCTTTTTATTGCGCTTTCTAAATAGAAAATCTCGAATTTGTGTCATATTTTCTGACAATACAGTATTATTCATGGATCATGATTACAAAAACCCGGTCTTGCTTGCATGACTCAAGGTACATGCTTCGGTAATTATTATAAGAACATGTGAAAATCAGAGTAATCATTTGTAATGATGAAATGCAACATTAACTCAAATATACAACTCGCGTTCATCTTTAAAATAAATTTATTATAACATATACATATACTACACCCATTCATGTATAAAAATGAAACTAAAATTATATATCGAACTGAAACATTTATAATAAGCCCAGACTAATCCTTTCTCGCATAGCGTTCTCACGTACGATATTGTCATCCGTTTACAAGGAAATATAGAAAACACTATACGAAAACGGATTTGTGCGGACAAAGACCCAGTATAAAAACGGAACCTAAAATTATCACGTTTTGAGATTGGCTTTGTAAGATAAAAGTGACTAATGTTTGTGACTCGTTCTTTAGAAAATTCTTTTCAGCTAGCAAAAATTGTTGCCAATATATGTACAATACACTGTAAATTTCAAGGAGTCTGTATAATTACAGTAACTCCAAAATGTTATTCTGTAGTCGTTTTAGACCTTTTTGGTTACAAAATAAAACATTTTGAGTTGATTGAACTCCTTGAGATTTACAGTGTACACAGCTAAATTCACTTATATTGCCCTGGAAACGTTAAAAGGCAATTAAGACTAAAACATGCAGAGCGGGCAAAGCCAAGCGAATGATGCAAATCCTTAAATTTTTAGCGCTGGTCCTAACTGGTAGCTGTTTCATAATGTATTTCAAGTAAATAACGAGCTCATTCCCTCTATATAGTGGCGGATTTGTGTCAACATCTGCGACTTGCGCTGGTCCATTTTCAACCTCATATGTGCCCAATCTGCATGGACATTTGGCCGTGTTCGTTGGTTTGCCAGGTTCGATGGTTATGAGTCATGACTCTCCTTGATAGTCCAGGCAGAAAATCCTTCTGATCTTTGCTTTCCCAGGCAAACTTTCGCACGTTGTACTGTTTCACCCTATAAGTTTCTTCGTCCAGCTAGCTCACTTTTGTCGGATGACATGTACTCCATCGTCGGAGGCCATCTGCCACCTTTGACACTCTTTCCTGGCTCCAGTTAACTTTATTAAGATGTTTGAATGTTCTTGCCAGTTTCTAAAAATGAACACAGATAATATTAGCAACATTATATTGTATGGTAACAGCTAATTGAAAAAAGGTTATCATCGAAAACCTTAAACTCTAAGCACGCAAAGAGTTGGGTTTAGGGCTTTTGATTTGGCAAATAATCCTATAGTACGCTGCTATAGTTGTACATTATACTGCTTATGATCTATCTATCTTGTCATAGTACAATACAAAATCCGCAAGTTTTAGGCCTAAGGCTAAGCAAGATAGGCCGGTAAGCAAGATCTCGCTCACACTGTGTAGTTATTTTTATAGTAAAATTTGCTGCGCATTTATATAGACAAGCGGGCTGCCAGATTGCCGAGATCATGGTCGAAAGAGGCGAGATCTCGCTTACTGGGATGGAAATTTCTGCATCTAAACACTCACGAGCGGGCTATAGGCCGTTTTCCAGGATGAAAGTTCAAATATACCGCCGCAAGCTATTTTTAACTTACTGTCAAAACAATAAAATATATCAAACAGAATAACAAAATTGTTCCCGGCAAGCGGGATAAATTTTTCTCATATAAACACAAGAGAAATTCATCCCGCATCTCGTACTGTCTGCAGGACAGTCTGGCTTCTATATATGCATGAACAGGCTACGAAGGCATTACCGTATTGAGGCACTCGAATGTATGAAATTAATACTGGCAATTTTAAGAAGCAGGTAATAATCAGTTGCATATAATATAATATAATTTAAAGACTAATTCGGTGAATCCATTGTGCTGTATTTAGCTAAAAAATACTGGACTGACTGGACTATACAGTGATATATGTATATGTCATTGATTTTGAAAATGATTTCAAATTTGGAACCAATATTTCAAATAAACTGTATTTTTATAACGGTCAAATGGACAAAGTTTTTTTATATCCATATACTGCACGACGCAATGATGCATTGTCTGACAATTGTAAACGGAAATATACACTGTATAAATAAACGTTTCACATGTACTTACATTGCAAGCCTTGCCTTTGGGCACTCTCTGTATATTTTTTCCCGTTTGTCTGAGTGTCTGACTCGTCTCTCAGAATAAGATCGAGTAATGATATCCACAGGATCTTCTCGTTGAAATTCTTCAGCGCATTCTCACTCCCTGTACTTGTATTGGCTATTATTTTGTTCTCTAAGGAGCTTGTTTTCCTCTACGATATTTTGCAACAACAAAACATACTGGTCCAGTCATATCGAAATTACAGCTAGCAAGTATCGAACTGTGACTGTGACAGCTACTGTATAAAGGCCAGACGTTTATTGTAAAAGCACAGGCGGCCCAGACGTGTATTAGTGTATAGTAAATATATCATTATAGAATACACTACACAGTAAAATTTGTAATGAATTTTATATTTTAAAATCACATTTACTTGCCTACTTTGATTGTATGTGATCGTCTTTTATTTCTGAGCGACTTTACATTCGATGCCTGCGACTGTCTTCATAGGTGATAGTATTGAATGCAAAGGCTAACGATTCCAGTTCTCAAACAGCCGACACGAACAATTCAAATCGAAAAATATCCCCTTCAAATTGCTTTCTTCACGGTAAAACTTCGCCAGCGTATAGAATAAACACCCATCTTCGAACATACAAAGCAATATTAACACGTCCTATAATTTTTGCAATGGATTTTTAGCGAAATGTTTCGAGACTAAAATTCTATGGAACTTAGAAAGCCCGATAATTACTACGGCGCCTGCTTGGCCACCTAGCCTCCTTTACCGTTTGGGTTTTCAGGGGGGGGGGGCGAATAAAAAATACCGACTGTTTACAATATTTGAAATCTGATATTGTAATTTATCAACAACAAAACTCTTTTCGATCGTATACAGCAACAACAGTCAGCAAATCAATGCCGCGATAGCGACGGTTTACTATATTTGAAATCTGATATTGTAATTTGCAAAAGCTATCTTTCTGTCTTATACTATGCGATCGATCGATCGAAAGAGTTTTGTTGTTGATAAATTACAATATCAGATTTCAAATATTGTAAACAGTCTGTATCGCTGCGTTGATTGGCTGGCTGTTGCCGGAAATAGGTGTTTTTTTATTCGATCCCC